CTTCACCCTTCTCCTGCCTATCCCAGCTCTCCCAGTCTTCACCCCTCCCCTGCCTGTACCGGCTCTCCCAGTCTTCACCCCTCTCCTGCCTGTGCCAGCTCTCCCAATCTTCACCCCTCTCCTGCCTGTCCCAGCTCTCCCAGATTTCACCCATCTCCTGCTTGTGCCAGCTCCCCCAGTCTTCACACCTCTTTTGCCTGCGCCAGGCCTTTCACTCTGCTACTTGTTCTGATTCCAGTGTTGATATTTTAATATAAGCATTTTACCCACTTACTTCCAATCCCAATCATACAAGTGTAGACTGACTGCTGGTTACCAAAAGGAATCTCGTTAGAGTTGGCCACTCGTGATAGCCTGTTGGCTTACTGGTTTCTGATGGCTTTGGTAGCTATTTCATTGTATGTGAAAGTTGACTGAATGTATGTTGTGGTTAATTAGGTACTGAGGGATCACTGTTAATGGATTTGCTGATTGAATGGTTGCCTTCAGGTTAATGACTGACCAGCCGTAGCTGAATGTGGGCTGGTGAATTAGTTAGTTATCATGTCTGTATGCCCCAGTTTCCTCAATGTCAGAGCCTTCAGAAGAGCTTGTTTCAATAGAATGGGGAGTTTGTGAACATGTGGAGTGAAACAAGGAAATATATATAGTATTGACTGCAAAATGTACTCAGTATCTTGTTAAGAAACAATATTATGAAGGGGAGAATAACCAAGCCTAAGACACTGAAAAATCGGGCTCTTATGATCAGCACAATGCAATCAGTTGCTTAAATAGAGAACACTTTCTGATCGATATGCTCCAGTGCTAACCATGCAATATTTGTGGGGCAGTGGGAAGGCATCTATTTACAAGGGGCACAAGAGCCACGAGGGGCTTGACATCAGAATTTGGCTCTTGCCCGCCATGATGTTGGGGTTTGATTGGTCCTTTATGGATATTGGCCACTGCTTTCGCCCCGTGAGTCCCATTTTCACCTGTTTGGATGCCGATTTACCTCATGCCACAGTGCATACCAGCTTCTAGATCTGCATTGTGACCATCTCCCCATTAAGATTTGCCCTGTGACAATTGAATGGACATTCTGTACCTTGCAAGGTAGGTTGGAAATCCTAGAAAAGATCAGGTAACTGGGGCAACCAGATTTATAGTGTAATCTACTTCTTATCAGGATCCAAATCTTCTGATATACATTTTAGCAGTTTTCCTGGGGTTTCTCAGTTATATTTATTTTCCTTCAGCTGTCTCTTTCTGCACAAGGTCTGGCTATTTGCTATCTTTCTTTCAAAAAATGTTATTTCTTTCCACTGTAACAGTTGATAAACACATTTCCAAAGGTGACAACGATTCAAAAATTTCCTTCACAGGCTGTAAAATGCTTTGCATGGCCCAAGACTCTGAAAAGGTTGGGAGGGTTTCCACTGCTGAAAATCTGAATATTTACTGTTTTCAAAAGCCCAGTGTCAAGGTTAGTGTCAGATCCTGTCAATAGCTATGGAATAATATTTCCTGGTCTCTGCTAAACACACTGAAAAACACATAATACATCATTGTGCTATTACTCCTCATGCTGCATCCTGTGTTCTCCCTCAGTGATACTATCTGCTATATTTGTGGCAATTATGTGTTATAGATTTGAATTATGGTCACTCATGAAAATTTACATAGCCTCCTTTTACTTCAATACATGTATGTCGTATATATATTTATTTTCCTGTTTTGGATTTTTGAATTTGAACTGTGCAACTGGTTTTCTGTGCATCTGAGGGTGTTTAATGACTAACTCGTAAGTATTTCTATAGCCATGGTAATTTCTTTGTACAGCGATCTGAGACAGATGATTTTGGAGGTTCATGGGAATCAACAACTCAGCTTTCACCCTCAACCTAACTGCTTGACCCTCACCTATCTACACTCAATAGCCTGATTCTGATCCCTTACCCAACTTAAGTCCCAGAATCCTACAGTGTGGAAACAGGCCCTTCGGCCCAATATGTCCAGACCGAACCTCAGAACATCCCCATCCCCAGCCCCCTATAACCCACCTAATCTACACCTCCCTGAACACTATGGACAATTTAGCATGGCCAATCCACCTAACCTGCACATCTTTGGACTGTGGGAGGAAACCCACGTAGACACGGGGAGAACATGCAAACTCCACACAGACAGTCGCCCGAGGCTGGAATTGAACCCGGGTCCCTGGCGCTGTGAGGCAGCAGTGCTAGCCACTGTGCCACCGTGCCGCCCCTGTTTGTAACCCCTCACCTATCTACAGCCAACAGCCTGATTCCCATGTGCCACTGCAACAACCATCCACTCCATCCCCAGGCAGCCTGACTCTCAATACCCCTTCTGACATGATTGATTGATTGATTGATTGATTGATTTATAGTCATGTGTACTGAAATACAGTGAAAAGCTTTGTTTATGAGCAGTACAGGCAGATCATAGTAAGCAAAGGATGGTACAGATCAAAAAGACTTAGACAGAGGCACAGAGGTTACATTGCACAGGGAATGTGCTAGGTGAGATCAACTTTAGCAAGATCAGCGTTATTTGAGGCTACAGAGTCCATTCATCAATCAGATAATGGCCAGGAAGAAGCTGTTCCTGAACCTGCTTGTGTGTGTGTTCAGGCTTCTGTATCTTCTGCCTGACGGAAGAGGTTGTAGGAGATCATTACCAGGGTGCAATGGGTCTTTGATGATGTTGGCAGCCCTTCCGCGGCAGTGAGCCATGTAAATACAGTCAATGGACGGAAGGTTGGCTTCCGCGATGGTCTGGGCTGTGCACACAACCTTCTCTAGTTTCTTAACCATCCTGGGCAGAGCGGTTGCCATACCAGGCCGCTATGCACCTGGACAGTATGCTTTCAATGGTACATCTGTATAAGTAGAAGTTGGTGAGGGATCTTATGGACATGTCAAATTTCCTGAGCTGCCGGAGCGTCTTCACAATCTGGCACTCAGCTCCCTTTCCCCTGATGGCCCAAACCTCACCATGTTTGAATCTAACCCTAGTCCCCCGCATTACGATGGCTTAAATATCATTTCACTCCTCCACCAGAGAGTATCTCCTTAATCCTCCCAGTCGCTATACTGCAGACCAAGAGCCATTGCAGGCCTTGTCAACTCATGATGCACTGCTCACTTCTTCTGCTACCACAGCTTGATTCTCTCCTACATTTGCTGCTGATAGGTCCAGTCCCTGACGAGCACGATAACAAAAGTCAAAATCACAAAGGAAACATACAAATTTAAATTAAGAGATAGTAGTAGTTTTCTTTCTGATGAAGGGTCCAGACCCGAAATGCCAGCTTTCCTGCTCCTCTGATGCTGCTTGGCCTGCTGTGTTCACCCAGCTCTACACCTTGTTATCTCTAATTTAAATTAAGATCCTGTTTTTTGGGGGGGGGGGGATGGGAAGATGATGATTCACCCCAGTGCATGCAGTGCCCATGTGTCACAGAATCCTCCTGTCTACCTCTTCCTCTTTCCTCATCAGGTAACAGTAGTGAGGAGTGTGTTCTTGTAATGTTGTTTCTTCCTCCTGGTCTAACAAAAGGACCCAGGAATATTCACGTGGTAGTATCAGAATACATCAATAGAATAGCTTCGAGAACAAAACATTGACTTCTTTTCTTCTCTGTAACCAAGCAATGGAGGTTTGTGTTTTGGGAATACCCCTCTCCACTTCCACACAGAATCTACTACAGAACCTACTATTGTGTTTTATTTTTTATTAACCTATCTTTCTAATCAGCCTATTCAAAGATGTTGTTGCATCTGGAGCTCGCTGGGACTTGAACCTAGACCACCAGATCCAGGGGTATGGGCAATACCACTGCAACATGGTTTTAAATAAAACAAATTAAACCAAGTTAGAGCTCTCAGTCCCCAAAGGATGACAGAGAATCAAACTTTTGAAGGAAATTTACCAATTTAAA